GTGTGTGTGTGTGTGTGTGTGTGTGTGTGTGTGTATGTGGAGAGAGAGGGACTGATATGTATATGTATACATACATATACACATACGTGCATCTATATATACAGGTCCCTCTATATATCTCCCTTTAAAAATGGCACCTCCTATAACCTCTGACTTTGTTTTCTATGCTGGTTAACAATCCTAAATATCTAGCAAGCCAAATATGAAACTTCTCTAGTTGACTGAAAGGAGTAAGATGATGTCTGTGGGAGCCCAGACCTGCATGTGTCTAATCTCATATTGTTGAAAAATTTGAGCTAAACTGTACATTACATATTAGCAGTACTTAAGAGGAGAACCGCCAAGAAGGAAAATATATGTAGAATGAGCAAGTATGAATATTGTATTTTATCCCACACAGTGCACACTTAACCCCCCCTGCCCCAAAATCAGCTGTCTGAAATCGGGGTCTGTGAATTAAGTGGGGAAGATGATTTTCTGCCCAGGGTTGGAAGAGTCCTGATTAGATTCCTGTTCCGTGGTGCACAGCTGTGGTAATTACTACTCAGGCAGCTAAAGGAGTCAATTGACTTACTATTCTTCACTCTACAGCTGTTAAGGATTGTTACTCTTTATTGTCTTTATGTTCTACTAATCAAGCCAACATTTCTTGGTCCAGGAGCAGCTAGTATACAGCAAAAGTGCCTTATTTCATACCCTCTTTTCATTCAGACATTAGCTTTATCAAAATCATAGATCTACCCATGGGGACTGGTGCTCAGTAGCAGCTAGGGGTGTAACTTTGCTTATGCAGGAAAGGGAGGGTGAGTCAGCTGAAGATTAGGCTCTGTTTCTGCTCTTTGCAATCATAACTCTGGGAATCTCTTTTTTTTCTCCTGCCTTTCAATATCAAGGTGTGTGTTATTTTTGGTGACATGTCATATGTAAGAAAATATGGTATTTATATGGCTAAATAATTAAGTTGCTGGAATGTCTCTTATTCCATTAGTGAAAATGGTGCACTTCAAGATAAAGCTCAGCTTCACTGGCAAAGTGAGAATTGTACAGTTTCTCAAGTGGATGGTATGAAGAGCTTCATCTATGGTAAGATGTTAAAGAAAATCTATTTGTTTAGATATTTATGTGGCCTTCATCACCGCAGTATCTAAATCCCTCACAATCATGAATGAATCTGGTTTTTGAAGCAGCCCTCTGCATTCCTGCAACATTATAATTCTTTTTAGAGGTCTGGAAGCTTGGGGTAAAAGAGTGACTTGAAGAAACCATAGGAGAACCTGGAAATTGGACTATATCTTACCTGTCCAGTGATATAACAACTAAAGAATTTTTGGTTCAAAATTCCCAGTAGAAAAAATAGTCTTAAATTTCTACAGTTATGAATGAATGACTATTTACCTATTCATGCCATATTCTTGGCTGTTTTTAGCAGTCTGTTTTCCATATTTCTTGTTTCCTGTTGGCTGTGGAGTCAGTAGTGTTCTGCATTCTGTTTTTATTTAAAAAGAAAAAAAATCGAGGAATTTTTTGGGGGTTTATCTTCAAAACAAAAACTGAGATGAAATCAGGATAAAAGGAAGAAAAGGAAAAAAATTGTTTAAATCGTGAGGGAGTAAGGCTGGGACTGGGGGAGGGGTGCGGCACAGCCTGTCAGCCATTCCTGGGGCTGCAGCAGAGAGCAAAGCGGTGGGGGGGAAGCTGTCAGTGGGTGCAGGGTGTGGCTCTTGCTGTTACATACCCCCCAGGAGAGCTGCAGGCTGGGGGTCCTGTGCCAGGCTCTTCTCAGGTGATGCGTGCCCCTGGATCAGCAGTAGAAAGCATATGGCACTGTGCCCTGCTTTTCTTCCCTGGCTGTGTTGGCCCTTCCCACTGCTGCTGGACTGCCCTAATGTTTTGG